TGCCAAACTGGTTTGGATTGAGATTTTTATCGGGTATCAGGGAACCATGTGATTATAAATTAGACTTGATCAAAACGGACCAAAACTTAAAATTCACCATGTTTGACAGACTCATGCCAAACTCTAATTATTCTTTACTTTTAAACTTTCTATTTGAAAATAAAAGATAATGAAAGATAAGAGATGACTGCAATTCGCCATTTGTACATCACTGATTCAGGAATAAAACTATAGAATTTCGAAAGAAAACTGAAAATGTTTATGATCGTTTTAATGTTAAAAATAACCAAATAGATCTTTCTGTTTAGTTTTTTACTAACAAATACCAAACGATTCCCTATAATATACACTATAATTTAATCATTATGATATCAAATAATTGTATAATATATACTTGAAATGATAAAAATTGGACTAATTGGGTTGGTCGAGGTTGATCTATTGAATAACTTTAAAATACATTATATTTTAGCCACTAAGATATAAAATAATAGCATAATATATATTATGCTAGAGAAAATAGCTTGTTTTAGAATGGCAAACCCATGATGTTCATTTGTTTTACTTGATGGGCAAATCTCGTGTAGGTCAGGCTCATTCAACTCTTTTATTTTATGATTAGCGGTTAGCCCATTAGAATCCATGCATTAGTTTATTGTTAATTTTTTTTATTTTTAGCAATAAAAAGGAGTATTGTTTTTGCCTTTTCATATATATTTTACCACCATGGAGAAATAGAAGGACTTAAAAAAAAATTGACACTCCTGGGGCTGGACCCGTATAAATCCGCATGTGTACGGTAAGTTGCCCCGTTCCACAGAGAAAAGAAAAAAATTGACACTCCCTATTCTACCCTTCTTACAAACGCTCCTGGAGCAGGGAATTTGAAATGAGGGAAGAGTTTTTTCCTCTCCGCAATTATATGTTTTTAATTTAAAAACATACAACAAATATACTTAGTGTGATTGGTTATGATCTTTGCTTTTCTTTAAAGTGGTCATGGTTCGAATCCTAGTAAGTGTCTTTTTAATGAATAAAAGAAGGTAATTGTGAAGACCAAAATGTCCTTCCTACTTTCACTCTAGATGCAGGAAATTTGAAATGAGGCTTCAAATTTTCTTATTTGGCTTTTATTTATTGTGTAGATGAGAACGAACTCATAATTACTTTTGGAAAAATTCACGATGAATTTGGTGTCACAAGAGTTTCAATTTTGATGCTTGCAAGATGTAACAATTTTGGCTTATGTACCAAAATTGTTTGAGTTGTGATCTTGAAGTAAATTGAAATAACGGTGAAAAACGCTCTCCCGACATGGTAATTTGTTTATCATATATTGGTTTATGACTTAATGTTTCATGCCATGAGGGCAAGGAAAATCAGGGGCGGAGCTAGGATTTTAACTTTGGGGGGGCCGAAATTTTTTTTAGTACGTATTATCGTAAAAAATAAAAAAAATAATAAATAAAAAATAAATATCATATAAATTATTATTTAAGATAATTATTAGCAGTAAAATTGCGATTTAAATTAAAATTTTAGCAACGATATGTTCAACATTATTAAATAAATTGTCAACAAAAACTAATCATCATTTTTTTATTTGTACCATGTTCTTCACTTAATATAAGTAACAAATAAATATATCCGAATAGTGAGAAAAAATAATTAATTTGGTACAAATCTAAAGTTATATTTGAAAATATAATGTATAAGTTGATGAATTTAATTTACTAGTTTGAAATATAAGTGTGTAAGAAGACTAAGTATGAATGTTAAGTGACTATACTGAAATTTATTTAGCAAAAATCATTCCGAAACGACAAAAATAAGTAAATTGCGTTGCTGCTGGGTTTTGAACCCACATCCTCCAAAATGAGAGCAAACCATTTCTCCGCTAGACTACATACATTCATATTTGTTTGAAGTTCCACAATATCGATATTTATAAAACATCTTAATTAATACGTAATTTTCGTTGTACATATACGCGAATTTCAAAATTCTCGGGGGGGCCGGGGCCCCCCCGAGCCCCAACATAGCTCCGCCCCTGAGGAAAATGAAACAAAGATGGATCCTTATAGGAATTGAATAAGGTTGTCAAGGAATGGTAATAATAAAAATAATCATTGTCAGAATTGTTTATGGTATATGTACACTATACCATTGGAAAACAATTTGACATGATTATTGTGTGAAGCTATTTGACAGAATTGTTTATGGTATACATAGACATATACCATTGGAAAACATTTTGGCATGAGAGCTCAATTGAGATGATCTTGTTGAACTTAAAGTCTGAATTACTTATGGTATATTTATGAAGTGCATACCATTGGTAAGTAATTAGACCATTGATTTAGAATATTCATTTGAATTGCTTGTGGTATGTTAAGTTACCTTGATTATTGTCATTGGTAAGTAATTAGATGGTATTTCCAATACAATCTGGAAATGCAACTGAATTACTTGTGGCATCTCAAGTTACCTTGACCAATTCCATTGGTAAGTAATTAGATGATTTTCTAATAATATCTGAATTGTTTGTGGTATGCTAACTTGATAAGTGCATACCATTGGTAAACAATTAGATCAATGTAGCGGTTGAAAGTTCAATAAGTAATGGAAAATAAAATAGAATTGTTCCATGATAGTTTGGCAAGTGGGAGAATTGTGGGGGAGATGGTTTTGATGCTAGTTGGATAGCAAGTTCTAGTGATAATAAATCTATAACTGGTGGATTTTACACTAGGTGATGAAGTTGTTTCTTGAGTTTTGAAGAAACAAAAGTGAGTTACACACTCCACTATGGAAGATGAATTTCTAGCCCTTCCGGCGGCTGGAAAAGAGGCAGATGGCTAAGTTTGTTAGATAAAGAGTTGTGGCCACAACCGATGTTAGCCATTTCTGTCTTTTGTGATAGTGAGGCTACTTTGTCAAGATTTACAATGGTAAGTCTACAGATATTAGCCTAAGACATGATTACGTTAGTATTTGATTACTAATAGAATCATTTATATTGTGTATGTAAAATCAAGCAATAATTTGGCAGATCCTCTTGCCAAGGGATAGCCAAGAGGTATGATCTATGAACATCCCAAGGGATGGGATTAAGACCTTTTTGTGCAGTTAGAAGTAATGGGAACCCAACCTTTTCTTTAGGTATTCACTAATTAAAAGGTTCAATGTGGTAATAACAAGTTACTCTAACAGAGGCACTAATTTATTGTACAAGTAAATTAGTCCAAAGAAGGGTGAGTTATAGAACTCTTGAGATGAGTTATAGAACTCTTAATGAATTCATTTGGAATGTCACCTATGTGAGCATTAAGAGTGGTGCCGCTCTAACAAAAGTAGAGGTCAACTTTTGTGTATGCTCATGAAACAGGATCAACACATGGCCATAATAGTGCTACCCTAGTTGGTGGTTGTGTTTTAGAGAAGAGACAAGTACGTGTGTGGCATCTTCGGTTATAGCTTTGGATCGTGACTCCTAGGCTTAAGCCCGTCACTGATTCGTTATCAACTTTGAGTTGCTTACACTAGGTAAAGGTTCAAATCGAAAAGATACCTTTATGTATGCGTTACTTGTTCGAGGCAGGTATTCTCAACTCTTGTTAACTAAGTGGGGGATTGTTAGAGTTAGTCAATAGAGTTGTAATACGAAATTTATGGGAGAAGTAAAGTATAAAGATGGGAGTCTTTAGGCAGTTTAATTAATTAATTAATTTTTATATTAATTAATTAATGTTTGAATATTGTGAAAGGATGTGTCCTTTCGGGAAAGGTAACTACCTTTTATGTGAAAGGATGTGTCTCTTCAGAAGGTAACTTCCAGTTTCACAACTATAAATAGATGACTGCCATAACTCTTTTAATGACGAGAGATTACTTCTTCTTCCGTTTTCCTTCTCTATTTCATAAACACAGAAGTCTGCAAGATTGCTGCTTCCAGACTTAAAATTGAAGGGACTCATGGGGGTGGTTTGCTCGAGCCTACCAACAATTTGTAGTGGGGGCAAATAACACTCTAAGGAGAGTGATTAATTCACGCCTTCAATTCGATTCTTTCCTACCAGTTTCTGACATATATTTGATCCCATCAAAATCAGGTTTGTATTACTATCAATCCAACTCAAGTGGGAGGAGGTGGTGGATGCCACCATGTGTATATTCCATGTGGGCGGTGGGCCCAGCCAGCCCAATTTAATGCCGTGTCCCTATCCCCTAATCCTTTCCTCCTGTCGGTCCAAGACAGAGATTTGGGGGTTGGGACATTTTAAAATGGATGGGCCAGTGGGCCCATTCCGTGATTTTTACTTTTGGGCATAATGAGTTGGGCCGCGTTTCTCAGATCCACTCACAAAGTAGAAGGGGACTGCTCGAGACTCGAGAGCAAAATCGTTTTCTTGTGAATCAATCTTCATCTGCTTTTTTTGCCTTCTCTGTTTTCTTGCATGAAAAGGAATGGCTGGCAAAAAGCTAGCAAAGAAAAGCACGGTCCCAATATTATAATTCAATCACATAAGGAAACAATAATAAAGAGAGAAAGAATTCAAACACGACTCGTATATCAATTAATCGAGAACTCGTCACAATGATTCGAGTTGTTGAGAGCGAGATTCAGTATGGATGTTATAACATTCCCTTTACACGTCATCTCAAACAACAATCAGACCATATGACAGAATTACATCGTACGCGAACCCTTCTATACCTTGTATGCATTATATATGTTAATGGTTAGTGTTGGAGGTTGTGAGAGTTTCGAAATGAAATAACTCGGTCGGAGATCTCTGATGCAAAAACTGAAAAACTACTTAATCACAATAACTCAAACTCTATCGAGAAGCAGAGAATGGGATCCTTCCGTTACTAGGTCAAGTTGCCAAAATGTTTGATTATTTGTCTTGGAAATTTGCTTTTGTCATGTGAAATATGAAATATCTATGCAAGTTGTAAATTGAAATATGATTAATCTCTAACACTCTCTCAAGTCGCAAACTTATTTTATTCAACGAGTCGAGCCACCGTCATTCATAAATATCATGCTAACACTACAGAACCTCCACCACCACATATGGAAATCACATTGCTGATATCCAAACTAAAGCTCATACAATGTTCAACATTCACTACATCCCAAGCTAACAAGTAGCTAAGTATGAAGCTTGGGCTACACATACAATAGCTATCTATCTATATATATCAACATTCTCTTACAAAAATTTGTTACACCAGCAAACAAGAATTGATGAATCAATGGGGGATCAGAGGGAGCATGCTGTTGAGGATTGAAGGCTCAATTGGTAGGACGAAACCGAGGGAGAGGACACCGCAATTTCACTTGGAAGAAGTAGTCTCTCTGGTTGCAGGGACAACTTCTTCATTGTTGATCACCTCTTCTTCAAAGTCTACATCTTTCGTATAGTGACTGTATATTTTGCAAGGGAACATGGAACCGTCTTGTTGATCTACAATAAAACGAAAGCAGCGTGGCTGGATGACCGGAGATCATAAGAGCACAGCGGTGGCTGTTGAAGTTAGCGACAACATGAGAAAGAACACTCCCCTGTGGTACAGGCCTGTGAAAAACATATGCAAGTTCTGTCTCAAGAATGGAAAGAACACTCATCTGTAAAATGCACATATAATCACTGAAATGTGGGGGTGCTAATCAGACGGTTTTGGTGACATGACGCGTCTATTTGACATGGTGATTCAGACAAACTAACAATACAGTAGCAGAGACTGAGACAGAGTGACAACTATACACAAATCACTTTGTATGTAGTTAGCAAACAACTTTTTCTCATAGGTTAGTGACCACTTTTGGTATTTAATAAGAACTCGAGTGCATGTTTTCTCGTCGGGAATCTAAGGCTTTCAAGCTTCTTATAAGATCGTGTAAGAAGTAAGTTTGGGTTTGGTTGACAATTTACGTACCACTTTGAGCAGAAGAAGCAGCAGCTGGAAGTGCTGGGAGTTTGGTAGCTGCAGAGATCAAAAGTTGGATTAATACCATGTAAGGTACTATGTGATAAGAACAACATGGAAGCTTTAGATGGTGGAAAGCCGACTTCTGAATATGAACCAAAAAATAGATCCAAGTAAAAATGACTAGTCAACCGTACTTTTATTGCACGACGATGCTGATAACTGTGAAGAAGTGGGCCATGGCGCTGGAATATTGTCATTCAGATCACAGATGAAGCTGATCCCAGAAGACTGGTCAAATGTTGCATCAGAGGGCAAACTTGGCAGAAGGCATCCAGATTCTGCTCCCAAAAGTTAGATAACAAGTTCAATGAGTCAATTCATGAGGAAGAAACTGCTGTCATCAAAGTAATTACAAACAAGAGTGTCAAAATTACCTTCTCTTGCAACTGATCCATGAAGAATGGTCGGTCGGTCCACAAAACCATCACATGGCGAAAATGACCAAAAAGAAACCTTGTGTTAGCAATGCGCTATCAGAAACTCATGGAGCTTAGAACACTTCTACTTTGGTCAGAGTAAAATCAAACCTTGGAGTGAGAAATCTTTGAGAGTTATGTGACAAAGGCTATAAATATCACTTGTGATGTTTGAATTTCGCAGCTTCATAGCAAGCGTTGTAGAGCAATCTAAAGCTTGAAGATTTGTAATGAGGCTCTGCTTCTGTAAGTGAGACACATAGCTCTCCATGGCTTGACAACATTCTGTCTGGTTTCGCATCGTGTTGCTACATTCCTTGGTGACATGTTTCATGTCAGGGAAAACCAGAGGGCAAACTGCAGCAAAGAAAGCAGAAGGGTAATGAATGCTTCTACAGTTGAAAGTTGTAAAATGGGCCTATCTGAACTATGGGGTACTAACAAATCGGTCATGAACTTTGATTCTTAGCAACCTTGAGTTGTAAGTTAACGACTAATTTGATAGTGACTCCAAAGCCTAAGGACGATTTATGTAATTGGCCAGTTGTAAAACAAGACAAAACCTTATCTCCCACATTACCTTTGTTCACTTTGCAATTGGTAAGCCCCCTGAGAACCTCCTTTGCTCTTGAAGAATCCATTTTACTAGCAAGCCATCTTAAGACAATCCTCTTGCAATCATGAACTACAGTTGATGAGTTCATAGGTAAAGTACCGGGACCATTGAGAGTCAAAACTGGAGAAGCTTTTGCCGCGATCTTTTCAGCAGCTTCAGAAATGGCATTTTGACAAACTTGCTCACAACATTCCTTCACGGGATTGATATTTTGGCAAGCAGCAAGGAGCTTTTCAGACTCCACAGATTTCTCAAACTCATCCACGTCTCTAACAGGACAAGACCCTTTGGTGAGATTCGACGGATGAATGGAGCATATCCTCCTCAGATTCTCAGCAGCACCCTGACCAATCAAGATCTGCTCGATATCCGAAAGGCAGTACTTTGATGCACTGCCACTTAGAGCCAGCACATTGCTGGCTTTACTAGCTTGGCCTATGAGAATAGTGAGTGTAGCTTCCAACTGAGGACAACACATGACATTGGCCAGAAGTGGCGCAAAGAATGCCCAACAATCAATCGATGTTGTGCTCATCATGCTCTCAGCGGCAGTAAAGTTCAATGCACACTCTCCTGGTAAGTAAGTAAGCAAGAACCAGAAAGCAGCAAGTCAGAAAGAATGGTGTCCGTCCAAATTTGGAAGGCAATAAGTGATGGTTTACTGAGTAAGACCGAATCCAAACCTGATAGTCGTGGAATTGTGTTTTTTGTGAAAGGAGTCAGAGGGGAAGGTGCCAGGAGAGGAAGAAATGGCTGAGGAGCTGCATTAGGAGATAACTCTGGGAGCAAAGGTTCCATGGAATTGCATCCTTCAAAACCTACACTAGCCATGATCACAAACTCTCATGTCAGGACAAATTCAAGACTACTTATGATTTGGCCACCGAATAACGAAATCAACAGACAATTAATTAGTAGAAACAAGGTTCCATAAACTGGCTCGTTCTCCCCAAAAGCAGAAAATTATCCATGCCTTCGAGTAAAAGATTCCAATCTAAGTGCTGAACAAAGAATGGACTAGACATCAGTGATCAAAGTATTCAACTTTAACTTCTATTATTGCCACACATCGCCAAAACGGCTCCGAAATTATCAGGTTTTTGACAAGTTGATTTCATTACAGAAGTCAAAACCCCAAACCTACTTAAACCCTTCTGGCAAAAGCAAATTTTCAACTCTAAGCAGCTAAATTAACAACAAGTGTAAGGAAAGCAAATTAGACAATGCAAGGTACAATCTTTATGATGATAGAGGTGAGCTTCTAAATTTGCAGTAAAATTCCACCAGAGACCCATCAAGCCAAACATTAAGCTGAGCATACCCATCTAACCACAGCTGCAATGGCAGTCCATGAAAACTCATAGATCGGGCTAAACTAGCAAGAACCCACATTACAACTCAATAAATTAAAGCTGGGAACTCACTCAGAAGCAGCAGAAGAAGAAGGACAATGGCGAAAGTATGCCTGCTCAGAGAAACTCCCTCATCCATAACCCTCCCAAGCTAAACAACAGCCCCTCTCGCAGAAAAATTCAAGCGAACCAGTCGAAGAAGTCGAGCAGGGAACTTAATTGAAGAGGGTGCTCACTGGGCGGTTAGCTGAAGTGATGATTCTGGGAGTTAGGGGCAGCTGGAAGCCATGAATTTTCGGCGGAGGAAGAAGGAATAAGGGGGGATGGGTGAAAGTTGAGAGCTTTTCTGTTTGTCACAGTGCGAGAGTGTAAATGCTGCTGAGTGTGTGAGTAGGGGACTGCCACAGCAGTAATTTCCCTTTTCTTCTTCTTCTTTTCTTAGTCTGTAATCTGTACCATTTCAATATTTCATCAAACCAAAGCATGGAATTTTACCCACTTCCCATTTTTCCATTTAGTCTTTTCTTTTTTTCCTTCCACGTAACGTAATAATGATAAATGGTGGGAAGAATGAATTCATAACCACTCCACTGCTCCATTGCATTTAATAGAACGCCACCCGCCATTACTCCCTTCCCATTTCCCTCAGTTTCCCAGCTAAACATGAATGCCAATAAAGAAAGCATATTTCACGGTGTTAATTAGGCATATGGTAAAATGTACTCCGAGTTTAAGGTCTATCTTTAAAGGAGGAATGCTCAGAGTCAGAGATTGTAAGCTGGCTCGCTTGTAAAGAAATTAGACAATAAACTTGAAAACGTATAAAATCACTACTACAGAGATATGATCGAAGTGCACTCCAAGTAACTCGAGCTAGTTTAGGACACATGACATATGAGAGTCGAATTTTGGACAGCTAGCGGCGCTCCTCCTAGTCACATATACGGTGGATAATCAGTAGGAATGCTAATTGATCATCACAGATAGGCAACTCAAAACTCTAAGATTTGCAAATAAATTATCGTTTGGAAGTTGCGATTGTTAGTGTTGTATTTGTTAAATACATGAATTGTCCACGATACAACGTTTGGAAGTGTCAAGTTGCAAAACAATGCATGTATTGTTTTGTGTGGGTCCCACCAACAATCAACAAAAATGAGAGATTGTACAATCTCAACTAAAAGTTGAGATTGTTGTGATTGTTGGTTTAATAATTGAGCACCTTTACTTTTTCCAATTATGTACATGGTTCTTTTTGTTTTATATTAAAAGTGGAGGACAAATATGGCATTTCCTTATAAAGTAACTTTATAACAATCAATTCATAAATTATAATATCAACAACCAAACAATATAATTTCAAAATGCATCTATTGTATCAATGCATGCATTTATATCATAATGATTCATAACAATACAACGATTTAACATACGCAACTTCCAAACGACCCCAAGATATTGACTGATAAGTGATAACTATGAATGCCGTAAATTATATATTTTGTTTAGTTACTTATTGAAATCAATATTGCGTGCATGATATAATTACAATGAGCGCCACAAACACTTTTGTGGATAACAAGTCAAGAATCTTTTTATTGGTTTTCGTTTTGCTCCAAATAACGTAGGGAATGGATCCTTTGTTGCGGGGTGGACTGTTTCTTATGAGTACTTTGACTACTTTGACTTACTCCAGTGTTGTTATAAAATAATAATAATAATAATAATTTCGGCGGGTTAGGCGAGTGTGGCACGTGCCAGCGCTGACCTGGCATTGAAGTTGGGTTTGGTTTGGGGAATTTTAATTCGCCTAGCTGGCTGGCTGGTGTGGTGCCTGTTGGTTGGGCATTTAAGGAAGCCCCCTTCTTTCAAGAAGGGGCCGTTATAGGCTACTTGGGCCAGGACTGTGGGCCGATGTATTAACGGAACTAGGCCCATCCTATCAACTCAACGGACTGGCAATTATGTGGACATGCGGGCCACATATAGTCCCGTTATATTTGTTTGTTTTGTCAAAGCGTTATATTTGATTTTTAATAAATACAATTTTTTTTAAATAGCACTTAACATGAAATTAAAATTATGTCGCCTTTTATAAATATATAAAAATTAGATCGAAATCATCAAGAATAAGAATATTGAATTTCGAATAAAACAAAACATGAATTGATTAGTCCCGTTATGATTTTGAATATCACTCTTTATAAAAGAAAGTTCAATAAGTAGAGAAAAGGGTGAAAAAATAGTTTTGAATTTGAAAATGGAAATGGAATATAATTGAACCATATTAAATTAAACTATACACCAACTTTGACTCTATTCAACAAATCGTTCTGTAGAATTAGAAAGAACTTTCCTTTCCCCCCCCCCAGACAATTGAAGAGGAAAGCATCCACATGACTCCAAATTGCGGAGCGAAGAAGAACAATACAATACCAATTTGTTCACCGAATCAAACCTAATCCCATACATCATCAGTGTCGGACACGAACTCTAACAAGACTCGGTATTAACATAGTCGTTAGATATCCCAAACTCGTCCAAATAAATTACGGTTAACAAATATTTTTGTACGATCATTTTGTTCATAAAATGTCATCAATCATTTCATATAAGACATTTGGATCGATTATGTTGAAGCGCGATTTACAAGTTAAATCCTAAACTACTCTTTTCATGACATATCTTTTCAAACATATTAAAGCCCAATCACTTATAAACTTAATATTTACTCAAATTTCACACATATTATTCATCATATGGATGGTTCCGTTGCTCGGAAATGGACAGTTAACCATTTGATTGTGTACTTCTTACAACTCATATCTACGTAAGAGTTCACCGAGTGAATTCCCGGATTTTCCCTATATCGAATGTTTAATCTGGTCGCTAAATTAATAGCCGTCCAGATTTAACTACGAAAAACAGACCTCTCAATCGGGGAAAAAAAATATAATGATTAATTACAAATTCACAATCACGTACAATTTGTACAAAGGAACAAAAAACGGAATCAATTACACAAAACGGGAGATACAGATTACAGAGAGATCGAATCTTTTTCGGCTAGACCTCCGGGATGCTCTGCAGCACGGGCCTCCAGTGCCGGTGGTGATCATCCTCGTCGGCAAACAAGCCGGCGGCGCCGGCGGAACTGATCAGCCTCGCCAGAATCTGTTCGGACGACAAGCCTTGCATCTCGACTCTCGACATCAGCTCCTCCAGCTCCCTCCTCGACACTTTTATCTTCACCTCCCTCCCCGACGCCGCCGCCGGCGGCAGCAGCCGGTCCTTGTCGTCAGAAGAAGAAGAATCGTCGTCATCGCCTTCTCCTCCTCCTCCGCTGACGCCGACAACGCCGTGGTGGTCCTCGCCGGCGTCGGCGTCGAACAGGACCATCTTATGATTGTCGTCACCGAGGGTTTCCCAATCGTCGTCGGCCCACACCGCCGTCGACGATACGGATTTCCTGCAGCAGTTGCCCATTAGAGAATTTTTTTTTTTTTTTTTAAATCTCTATAAAACGGAGGAAAAGCTGGCGGTAGATAATGAATCGGAGCTAAAAAGATGGGCGGAGTGGAGGTTTATATATTTTTTGGGAGGGAGGAAGAAGCCGCCGTGGGATAAAGGGTTAGCGGTTTCGGAGGAAGGTAGGTGTGGGTACGTGGCAGTGAATGATGTTGACACGTGGAAGGGGAGGCTGGCTGGGTCTTAATTAGAAGGCAAGCAGTTAAAAAAATAGGGATAATTACAGGAATGGACACTATATTATTGGGTTGGTAACAGATTGGTTGCTGAATTGGAATTTTTGTATCTAAATCACTCGTGTCATCGTGTCAACTCACATAATCACTAATGAAAAATGTCGGATGTAACTTATAGACCTTGTTTAATTAGGCATCGGATGAGGAAAGGGTCATAATGTATAAAGATCTTGGGGGTAATGTTTGGTCGAAATTGGTTCGAGTTATGAGTGGGGTGTTTATCTTGTACCAAGGGTGGTTCAGGTTGGTAAGATATGACGGTCGGTATGAGATTCTCTCAAGAGTTATACCATTCAAGTTAATTAGATATTTTGTGTCGGTTAACCAAGCAAATTATCATGCTTAACATAATTGGTTACTTTTTGAGTTTGGATGCTTCACATTGGTATGATAATGTATGTTAATTTGGTGCAAAATATGTACAAATTTGTTCTTTGAACACCTTCTCGAAAGACCTCCTACTAATTGAGTGGACTTTAACATATAAGAATCATTTCTCCATTTTCCTCAAATTTTAACAACAATTGCATCTGGTAATCCATATTATAAGTTGTTTACTTTTATCGGTCTTGTCTGCAATACGAGGTATATATCTATCATACATTGGACACCATCACACACAATAATTGAGATTACACTTTGATATGATAAAAGTAACCCTATATACACTTCAACATGATGCTAGTTACGTTATTTCGAACCTCCATGCTAAAAGAGAAAAGTTGAGTGACTTAATAGTAGTGATCTCTAAGTTGGGTTGCCATTTATGCACTTCCGCCATTATCAAAATGGAGAAAACTATGAACATTTTGAAGAAAGTTGCATGTGATTCTCTTTTTGCTAGCTGATCACCAGCCAAAAGGAAGTGTAAAGCAAAACATTTGAGATCAGGCAGGCAGGTGCATCATATCTATACGATTCCATTTTCCACGTACGTCGTCGTCCCGCCTTTCTGAAACCCTCGGCCGAAAGGCATATACGTGTGTATGCTACTTTTCCTGTATCAATTCATGTGAACATAAGCGTCACTCGTGATTCGCGAATGTCACTACTCGCTAGCGAGAGATTTCGAGTTAGAATTCTCTCGAGTGAAGGTTTTATCTTTAAAGAGGAGCATCGCATTGTGAGTTAGAAACGAGAAGCTCTATTGACGAGATGGTGGAAAGTACTATTCGTAGGTGCTGGTATCATAAGAGATGTGAGATTGCTGGATCCTCGATCATTGCTCCCTTTCCTTTTATGGTATTTCAATCCGTCGAGCTCGAATTCCAACAATTAATTGGTTTCGAGTTTCGACATATCATTCTAAACCGATATCTTACTTATTGAGTTAGGGTTTCACGGCATGAAAACCGATACCCTCTCTACACATCTTAAGACTCTCTCTAAACCTCTAGGTCTCCTGATCTTTCTCGTTGCAAAACGGAGATCGACAGACATAGTGTAGTTGGCGACGCCGGCGGCACCCATGGTTAATTTTTTTTTTTTTGTCGGTGACGACGGCGGGACAGGTGGCGGCTGGATTTAATTATTAAGTAAGAATTTTCAGGGCGGGGAAACATGTGGGGAGCAGGTGGTCTAACTCTATAATCGTCTAATGATCCATTCAATCTTATTTTTAGATTAGGACTTCGTTGAGATTAATTAAATCGATTAAGTTAGCTAGAAAGCCAAAAAGAAAGAAGCCCTACGTACCAAACTTTCTTTTCTTTTTCTGGGAAGAGAGATATTGAGAGAGGTGCTTTAGGTTAATATGAACTGAATGAATAGAGAGCATCTTTTGGACCAATATGGGAGGTGGGAACCTGAGCATATATATATAAAGACCCATTTCAGACCTAGAAATGTCATTATTTATGAATTAATTGTGATTAGGAAGTGTTTATGAGGCCAATCAAGTGAGATAAAGTAGTGGAGGCCGCAGGCGACGTAGTCCAGTCAAGCAGTACAGGTGGTTGAATAGAACAAGTGGTGATGTGTCGTAAGCAGCCATTTCATTTATATTATTAAATTATATATGTTAATTAATCAATATAATTGAATTGAATTGAATTGAATTGAATTGAATTGTTGACGTGGAGTAGTTCAACTCTGAGAGTTAATTATGGGGTTTCTCATCAAGACAAAACTCTATCCGCTTGGTCGTGTTTGGCGTACAATTTCCTGGTCGTGAATTCATTTGTGAAATTCAAGCTTTCAACGTTTAGGGCATTGACCCCCATATTTCAGCTAGCTACTTGGGTAGAGCTTTTAATTATGAGGGGTCCAAAAATCCCACTTTTTTTTAATTATTATTATAGTCAGATGAAATAGTAGACAGATATGTTTACAATAGGTAAAAGTAACGGCAGTCAATACTAATCGATCTGCCGATGAAAGAGCCATTTATGCCACAAAATGGACAGCTCTGTTAGTTCCTAAGAATAGAGTGACAAAAACACTAAACCCTAAAAAAGGATATAAGTTTCCTCACTACACCACTGTGCCTTAAAGCTCTCCGTGCCTCCACCTAGGATTGGAGTCCGCTACTCATGCTAAAAGCTAGGGCCCGCAACTCCGAACTGAAGTGCAAGCTTCCTGCAAAACAACGAACACAAAAATAGACCCAGCCCAATAGGCCCATGAGAGTGGCCCAAGTGCTCGAATACGTATTGGTTCCCGGCAAAATCCGCGAGGCCAAATCCTGGTGTCCCGCTAGAATGGGATAGTGGCAAAGCCACGTGTCTTCAACCTCGCTGCTTATGAATAATAAGTTTCGGGAGAGTTATCGACTCCAACGCCATGAGGAAGAGTGGTTATCCATCCACCGCCCCACCGCCACCGACACAGACTGTCCGGAGAGCCAGAAGGGAGAAGAAACGTCACGGCCGGAATTGCCGATCTCCGCCAACCGCCATCACCCTAGGATCGCCGCCTCCTTCTTTTCTCCTCGCCTGCAAAACAGAGGTCACAAAAACCAGAGCACCAACCAAATAAAATTGAGAATCAATTCCAGAGGCAAGACCCCTCGCTCAATTGTAAGGATATGATTAATCATCCTCAAACCACCGCCTCTACTTCCTGTCTCGAGAAGTCTGCAAATCTGTCCTTAGCACCTAGAAGACAACAACAATCGGCTGCGGCGATTCACCAGCCGAAGGGATCGGAGATCGACATACTACTACAGCCGGACAGTAGAGCAAAAGTCAAAAGAGGTAAAGGTAGGGAGGAGCGCAAAGTGATAGAATCTGCAATATCACAACAAAAAGAGACAGAGCGAAACCAAAAAGGCCAGAGAAAAGTAATCCACAAGGAATACAAAAATCAATTGAGAGTAAGGAGTGAACTAAGCACAAAACGAAAGGGAAGAAGAAATCTGAATCGTGTAAAAAAACAGCGGCGACAACTTCACGATCTGTCGCACGTTCTCTGTTGGGAGAGTTTGTTTTCCAAAAATCCCACTTGCACAATAAGGAAATAATGATATGTGAGATCTAGCTAGTCTAGCTACTAATTACTTAAATCTTATAGGTCGTTTGGTTTTGGTGATAGTTTGGTTGAGATAGTTACAATGCATGCAATGTCCACAATGCATCGTTTTTTTGAATTTTTTGCGCAAACAATACATGCATTGTTTGCTTGATTTGACGCAAACTATCACTCAAAATGAGTGATAGTTAACTCTCAAGTTTTCGTTGAGACTGTTGAGATTGTTTGATGGAGATTGTAGGTGTATATGTATGTATGCGTAAGAAAGAGCCTTTACAAGCATCATTTCAAGTTCATGTATTATAGGTTCTCATCTTCTCATAACCAAACCTTCAAAGTGTTAAAGATTGAATTGTTTTTTTCGTCGATATGAGAAATACACTACGATAACTATAACTACGTACTGGAGAAATTTTAATTTACGTGTGATTTATAATCCTCAAGTACCTTATCATAGTTTTAATTCGTGATCACAAATCACAATAACATTGAAATTATCCAGACGTAAGCACAAATTGTCGGCCAATATACATTTATTACTCTCACTACTATGTCAAGAGCAAATTGATCAGTCTCGAATTATACTCAAATTTGTCGCATAACATATAGCACGGGATCATGATTCCTCTCTAAAACAAAATCAACTAGCTATGGTCGTGTGCTTTATGTTAATGAAACTGTCATGATCATCAGCACCAATCCTTTCTCAGCAGCTCCACCGTCCACAAAATAAAATATTATACGGTGAAAATACTGATAATACATATCTTAACAATTGGTGTACTTCTAGAATATATTATACTTCAAGTGATTTTATCAATGCATATATTACGTTGTACTTCCGTAAATTAGAATCAGTCATTATTATTTTTTATTAACTTGATGATCTTTGTGTTTGTGTTTAGAGAAAATCGAAACTTGAGGTTTTATCCATTAAAAATTAGAGTATAGTATCAAACCACAAACTCGATTTCATTACATACACCCACACTCGATATACTTTGACATTCAATACCTATTTGAGGACCACCCTATGTATGTTTTCCCGTGTTTGATTGAAATTCTGATTGTGAAGTATGAACTCTTCAATTTTGCCAAATTTTATACTAGATCGGTTGTGTCGTTGAACGAGGTTCTTTCAGGAATATGAGTAAATACTTACGTACGCCATATAAATGCATACAACAATCACTATATAATAATTAATAATCATCCTTATCTGTAAAATCAAAGAAAAAAGAGTCAATATTTTACACGTAACGTTTTCCATGCATGCACTAATTGCATTGCATGCCCAAACAAATTAATCTTCTTGTATTTGCCCATTGAAAACGGCTGGTCATTAGTCGCTCATTATGACTATGAAGAGAGCTGGTCAATCAACCATAGTCAGTCCATATATATCCAGATTAATAACAAGTACCTTGAAGTACAGGTTTATCTTTTTAACGTAAGCTTGAGATTAATTAAGAGCCGGTTCTTCAATGGAGAAAGTATATTATATATTACGGTTGGTCCATGTAGGAATTGAACTAGTTAAATACCTTGATATTTCTACTTTTCTAGATGGTCAGTAATCATATTGATTAATAATGTTTACTAAAACAAGGGTAATTAATCACCTTGATAACGTTTTTCAGGAAGAGCAAGGGTAATTAAGGGAATGCCTCTGTTTTCTTAGGCCCAACTAGAATCTGGGCTCCTCGTTGAGCCCAGGGGCCTTAGATTTGTCGATATGGCAGAGCCGGCCCAAGGAGGCATCAATTGATGACAATCGTCGTCTTCTCTTTGGGCCCAAAGAAGTAGATGAGGGAGCTAGCTACCAACCAAAGCGGTTGGTTTACTCTTCACTTTTGGAAGTGTTGTTTCTCAATATTTTTAAGGGTTATAGGTAATTAGGTATAATATGTCTTTTACTATGTTGTTTTATCAAATATGTCCCTCTACTAGTTCTTACATCAAACATGTCCTTGTACTTTAGAAAAATGATCAAACATGTCCTTTTGTTAATATTTTCATCCAAAAACAATCAACCACGGACGGTCGTACCTTGGTTTGGGTGACACAAATGTCTAAAATATCCCTGGTAATTTCACTTTAGAATTTTTTGGGTTCTTTTGTAGAGCCAATTATCTCTAATAATTTCACTTTAACGAGACCTAGAAAAATAAAATGAGGGACAAAACTGACATTTTCCCTCTCATTTGTCTATGTCGGGTCGTTTACATCTCGTTTCAACCATGGTTGACGATTTTTTTAATGGAAATTTTAACAGAAGGGCACGTTTGATAATTTTTCCAAAGTACAAGGGCATATTTGATGTAAAAAATAGTAAAGGGCATGTTTGATAAAACTACATAGTAGAGGGGCATATTATACCTATAACCCTATTCTTAAGCATGCGTTGAGCTATTCCAAATAAACCCACCATTGTTATCCTCATCACACGAGCGACAAATACGAGTATCATAGGCTCATAGCTGGTGTAGGTTGAAGGTAGAGCGATCATAATAACCTTCGGCCACTCGACTTTGAAACAGAATATAAAATTACATGTAAAATTTGTAACAAAATTAAAAAAAAATAGGACAGACGGTAAAATTTCAGCTCTCAATTACCACATTCCAAATTTCTTGTGTTTTAATTTTTTTTAGCTTAGTAACGGAATTGTATGCCTTACCTTGATGGCATTATCATTCCTAATCCTACCGCATTAATCGATTTATTGTATCCTATCATCTTTTGCGGTTTTGTATACTCTGTTGATTATTAATTTATTATAAAAATAAAATAAAAAGGAAACTTGCCAACCTACTCGAGAATGGTGGTTACAATAATAACACCTCAACTAAGTAATCAATCGTCCTATCTACTTAACAATGATTGCCGGCCGGCCGGCCGGCCGGGAGAATAATAATATGTTTCCCGAATATGGAATCATTGTCGCCGGAGAATTTACCCCTTTATCTCTTCTTCTCTTTTACCACTCACCCTCTCCACCCCCAATCGGCAAGATCATGGCTAGCTATCTCAAACCTAGAAGAAAGGACAACCCCAACTTGCGACACTTCACTAGTACAACATTGTGAGGCTTGATTGATTGCAACATAACCAACACGCTATTAAACATGTGATAACGACATATTTATAGTCCAACATTTCGTAATAATACTGCAATCGAATAATCATATACATGCATTCGAATCATTTCGAGTGAAGTTGATAGAAGTCCGAATTTAGGTGTGTACATCTAGGGTTCGTGAATAAGAGAATTGTGAGGTAATTGACATGCCACCAATACGATCAAAACCAATATTAATTAAGCTTGAAGAAACATAAAAGTTCTATTCACCTATCGAAAGAGAATGCCCTATGGAAACACGATAATCTACCACAAAATTACCCTCCATCCACCCAAAATCATCCAATCAATTCATCATTAAAACATCGAATCTTCATCATTAAAACCAATCAATTCATCATTAAAACCAATCAATTTGCAAATTAACACTTTTTAAAAAAACGAATCTCGAACAAACCCAAAAAAAAAAGAGCTGAAACTGCAGAGTTTGGTGGTGGGGGAGGGGAAAATGTTTTGGCATACATAAAAAGAAGGCACGCGTTATAAACCCCACCCGTCAAAGCCTCCGTAACTGAAGCCTATTTTGTTCCCTTTCCCCTTTTTTCTTTCCCCTGTTTTTCCCTCCTCTCTCAAACCCTTCCTCTGCTTCTATAATTCCCATCTCTCCATGGCGCCACCGCCTGCCAGATGAAGATGAGCTTCCACCGCCTCCTCACTCCGCCGCATTCTCCAATCTCCTCCCGCCGCCGCCGCCGCAGGAAGTATGCTCACCCGCCGTCCACTCCTCCACTTCACTGGAAGTTGTTCTTCGATTCTCCTCTCCGTAACAACAATGGAGGGGCCAAGGTGGCTTCGGCGAGGAAGCTCGCCGCGGGCTTGTGGCAGCTGCAGTTGGCCGCCGCCGGCGGCCGAGGAAGCGGCAAGGTTGCTCGCCTGAAGTCTGAACGTGGAACATGCGGTGATGTTGTAGGAATCCAGGTATGTCCATTGTTCTGAGCAAAAAGTAGAAGTATGTGCTTGTTTGTCTTATGCTCTTAGGTTATTCAAGTTTGTTAGGGGGGAAAAAAGTTTCGTATCAGAGCCTGGTTTCGATCCAGGGACCTGTGGGTTATGGGCCCACCACGCTTCCGCTGCGCCACTCTGATTTGTTGACTTGAACCTTAAGAAAACCAAATCTTATAGTTTTCAAGCATGAAACAGAAGAATTCGTCATAAGTTATTGGTGCGGTTATCGTGCAGATGGTGGCATTAGCGTTCGAACATCCTATTGTTATTTGTATTTGTCGGACTGGGCATCACACGATTCACGACACGTTGGATGAACATATATGATAGTAATTTAGTAAGTAGTTAGTACGCAACGTGCATCCAACGATTGTGAATTGCGTAACTCGCAATTGGATAATTGTGTGGTTAGAAATTCGGATTAGAAATTGCACGTCATCATCGTAGGTTGAGTCTAAGTTATCCAATGTATGGCCATGAAGAAGTAATAACAATTGAGGTATGGGACATGACGTGAAAATGTTACTGAAATTAGACACATTTAATTGTTCTGCACGGCAGCCAAGCATGTGCCCTGCACCTTGTGGAAGCGGCACGACCGCAGGATACGACGAAGATAACAAGGATGATGGACTCCTTCGACCTCACGTTTCTTCAGATTTAAGGCATGGTGTCCTACGTGACAAGGTACACTCTCCCCCTCTTGTCTCTGTCTCTTGCTTTCTCCATGTATTTCATACTCATTAGGCCCACTCACCATTCAATTTTGTTTCATAAAGTGTGATAGCTCGAATTGTTGGGACAAATGAACTGATTGTTTGTACATATGGGTGTATGAGTGTCTTCAGAGTTGGAGGAAGGCGATGGCGAAACGAGACATTACTACTATGCATGATGAGGTACATTGCTTTTACGCCAGGGTGAAAATTATTGACCAGCAACACGATGAGTCGCTTCAAATTTCACATGCTTCGGCATTGCAATCCGAGCTTTCTCGGGCTCGATTCCGGATCCATGAGCTTGAGTCCGAACGTCGGGGATATAGGAAGAGAGTTGGTCATTTGTTTCGAGAGCTCGAAGAGGAGAGGAGGATGTGGCGAGCCAAGGAGGAGAACAAACTTCGTGCAGTTTTTGAAGGTCTAAAAGACGAGTTGGGGAGGGAGAGGAAGAGTAGGAAGAAGATGGAAGTCATGAATGCGAGATTGGTCGACGAGTTGAGCGACGTGAGATCGCGGGCAGAGCGATTTAGAAAGGTTTATTGGAAGGAGAAGAAGTCCAGAGAGGTCGTCGATGTGGTTTGCACCGAGCTAGCTACGAGAGTCGGGGAACAGAAAGAAGAATTTGAGGAATTACGGAGGGATTCAATTAGATTCGAGGCCGAGATTGAGGAAGAGAGGAGGATGATGCAAATGGTTGAAGTGTGGCGTGAAGAAAGGGTTCAAATGAAGCTAAACGATGCAAAATTCGCTCTTGAAAGTAAATACGATGAAATGCTGACCTTGATTTCCCAACTCGATGCTTTGCTAATGTCAGGGAGTGCTACCTCCATAGATGCAATTGAGCCAAGCCGATCAGAAGAGGTCAAGGAAGTAGCCAAGAGGTTGCAGAGTAATGTGAGTGACGATGATGAATTCGTTCACGAACCTCATGCATCGCATGACTTGTACACAGTACTCGAGGAAATTGGAGAAGTTGGAGGCAGTGTTGGGGTTATTCAAGCTTGCAATGATCGGACTGTTAGCCTCACCAATGGATTTGGTTCGAGTCACGACACGAGCAGCAAGGGCTCGAATTGCTCCCTCGAGGAGAGCGAGCATCATGCTAACATGCTGGTGTGTGATGATCAGGTCGAACGAACGGTTCAGGAGGTGCCTTTAGTGCGACCAGATGCTCCTGCTGGCGATGGATTTCGAGACCAAGGCTGTGTAGGTGAATGGAACTTAAATGAACTCATGAACCCTCACATTACAAGAGGGATCAAAGGCAGGGTTGAGTGGCCACGAGGATCCAGGAAATTTATCACATCAAAGGCTAAGGGATCCCAAGCTAGAATGGAAAGGCAGAAAGCTAAATTGCGTAGTGTTGTCAAGCACAGGAGTATCCACCAGTAGAGCCGAAGTTTGTCATGAACAATTTTTGGGCCCGGCCCAACCAAATGGCAGATTTTGGGCTGTCTCAAACATTTGTTTTTAGTTCTGTAAAGTGATTCACTAAATCACTTGCCTAATTGGCCAATTCCAATTTCCGAACCATCCAATATTGCGGTAGATGATAATATCATAAAATTGGAACGATAGAGAGAATATTAACATGATCCCTGTGCAAGGATGACACGCATAATATGGTATAGTAATGTTGGAAGTTTCTTTGTTTCCAAAAGGAATCCTATAATCAGGCTACACAACACCAACTCTTTTCATATGATAAAAAGCTCTTCACTTGAACCAATTGTCCTTCACGATATCATGGTCTGTGAAATTGTATTATAGATTGAATTACACAAGTTAGCAGAATAATATTTTGATGGTATGAATGTGGCTCTACAAATGTTATACTAGTTCAATGTACGACCAACCAAAATTTATTTGTACATTTTGAGTTGTTACTCTAACTATATAAAACTGATTGACACGAGTTTTCATAGTATTTGTTCCTACGTGTATTGGGAGACTGATAACAATAATGATGAGGAACCTAACACCTTATAAAAAATGAATGATGAGGTCCTCTGGTTCATACATCTTCGTTCAACCTCTTCGAGAGTAGATGTGGAGAGGTGAGAGTAGCCCCTCGGGATATATACTATGATGTCCAAATTAGTACGATTCAGGATGATGAATGTAAACTAGAGAGAAATAGATTTTAGAGAGAGATCATGTGTGGTGAATACTTGAAGGAAAGATATGATCCCATAGCATGGAAGGTTATGAGAGTCTTTATAATACAGGAGTTGCGAGCTTCCTTGTTGAGAAGTCTTGGAGTGGGATTATGTCTTAGGAGTCTCGCTGAGATACTTCGCAACGATATTGTGTCATAAGTGAGAAGCTTTGTGATGGGTTTAGCCTCGTTGATGACGTATAGAAGTTTATCGTTATAGATATATTAATATCTATATTCCAAGTCCCAACATTATTCGTGTGTTATACTGATCTAGCTCGCATAAACGGTATTTAGAGACCGGTCCGATCTGCCGATATGGTACGATAAGATAATCGATACACCATATTGATTGCTGGGATAATAATGCTAGTGTTGAAATTTTGGACAACTTTCTCCCTTAACCACAATTTCCCCCATTAATGTTTCCTCCTTGGGCCGGCCTCCTATGTGGAATAATTTTAGCCAGAACTTTACTTTGGGCCGGTTGATTGAAAGACAGCATATGTGCCCTGGCCCATCCATCAATAATTTTCTGTAATCGAAAAGACCAATGACAATAACCCAACAGCCATGTTTCATTTCAGTGGTTAAGAAGCCACAAATAATTAAGGTGACGAAATCAAGCTTTCGACTTCAAAATGGGTAATCAATTCGAATATTACGTGGAAGAGCATATCAAACAAGAGATTACGATCACATCAATAAAACAAATCAAAGTCTATTCGGCTCATCCCACTATCAAGCGCAAAACCATTAGACCCATAAACCCAAATATCAGTGGTAGAGCCAGAATTTAGAGTAAGAAGGAACTAAATATATAAACTATACGGCTTAGAATGAGGCTAATATCCATTATCCTACCGGTTGTAAGTGTCATCTCAACATATGATATACACATTATAACTTTGAATCGAGCATTAAGAGCGAGCTTTCTAAACTACACATAACTCTATCGCTGTCAAATATGTTGACGTATGAAATGGGTTATCCTTTTCAGCTTTCTCTCCGCTTAACAACCACAAATTTATGGAAATTTCTAGAGAAAAATGGGCCTTCATTTCAACTTCATGATCACCATTATAACTTCAGGAGTGGGCCATATCACTTCATTCTTGTACTTACATGTCACTACAGTTGAAATGAGAAGGGGGATTGAGTGAGACAAATTATAAGTAATAATGGGGGATATTCGAGATTAGTTCATAGTTAATTACTTTATGACCTTGAGTATCACTTGCCAAACTAGGGTTCCCGACTGGATAATGACTTCACACCTATCCCCACAACAACATTAAACAAAGAAAGGGAAAGGATTAGGGGGCAAAGATCTAGATTCTTTTATATTTGGTGGGGGGTATTGAGGAACAATTTGGATGGATTGATAAACTACAGGGTTCTAGAATACATGAATTTTAATAATCTACACGTGTAATGTTCGACATTCGTTAATATTTCATCAAGACTTCATTCTGACAACAATAAGAAGTTTTCCCCCATCCGTCATACTTGCAGAAAAGTTAACATATGCTAATTGACTATATACACCTACACGAAAAAAGAAAACAAATACCCTCATAAAATAATAATGTGAGATAAATCCGAACTACTTTCCGCCTCGTTTTCGACATTTTCCAAATATTTCAAGAACTACAAGAACTCTGCACTTTGAACTTTGAATAGATACCATAGAGAATTAGGGGTGGCAGCTGATTGGCATATTCCCCAACTACTAGCTAGCCTTATACCTTCTTCCACTAACCAAACCTAAAACACTTGTTTAAACCAAACAATTAACAAATATGGTCAGACAAAGAAGAAATGAGATCCATTGAAGCAGAACATATATGCACAACCAACCTAGGCCTAGAGTGAGGGGAGAGGGTGATGATGGGTGGTGGTGCTATTCCCTCATTGGTTGGAGATGGGAGCTGGTGCAGGGAACTTGACAGTGATGCCTGTCCTTTGAGGGGAAGGGCAGAGATTCCCTCTTTACTATAAACCTCTAATTAATTAGCTAGCAATAAGGAAGAAGAAGATCATAATCAAATATATATGTTGGTGGAGTTAGCTGCCTAGAGGAATCAACCACCAAAACCAATATAATGGTGGGCCAGACGCGACAAGACGTGAGATTGGTACGATATATTTCAAATAAGATTTTTCATAAGTTATCATCATGAGTAAAATTTATTGGCATGGCAGGCTCTTGATTGAACTGTATGGTTGAAACAAACATTCGACGCCTTTAAAATTTGGGTATCTGCATAGTATTAATAGTGTCACTTTTTACCAACAGAATAAATTGGGTTTTGAGGGTTAGTGTTGTATGGTAAATGGGTTCACTGATTGATCATGGTTTGTTTATGTTTAATGTAGTGGCTAATTGTTTAAAGAAATGAGATGATGAAATTGTATTGTTAATTGTGTATGTGGGTTGTAGTCTTGTAGACCATGCACCACAAACTTTGGTGGGATTGAAAGGCTAATATGACTATGAGATGCTGATGACCCTTTGGCATTATACTAATCCATATCATTAAGGTTTCATTACTAACCTGAGGAATCTCTAATTAACAAATCGGTTAACTAGTTGGTCGGTTTACTAGATTAGATGTGTTTGTAGACTAGCTGTAAATTACTAAATTGAAATGGTTTATTCAAATGTACAATTTTTTTTATAATGGTGATATAATATTATTAATCATCAAATATAAAATTAAGTGGATATAACCAAAATGAAAGAGAGACAATGAATTATTCGAAGTAAAAGTATTTTTATTCGATTCAAGTTGGTTTTGACATTTATTTATTTCAATCCTTTTCCTCTTGATCATATTCGATAAATGATAAATTAAAACGAAACATAGATCAATCTATAAATCACTTTGTTGTTCTGATACAATAATTCCATAGGCATATATATTTGGTTAATACTAACTAGATCAACTGTGGGTCACATCTTTATGTGGTTTGAATGACTTAGAGGCTCTTATTATGGCCACTAAGTTTCCTCCTTGATGTTTAACTGGCGAACTAAACTAAACTAATAATACAAAAATTGAAAACCGTTTCACCAATCCTCACCCAACAGAAAACAAAGGGGATAAAGAAGAAAAAAAGGAAACCAAAACATTGATGATGAATGATTTGTGGAGATACACTAAACATAGTAATTAACATTATGAGATAATGACACTCACTCCCACTCTTTGTCTTCTTTGTTTTATTCCCAGAACACACAAACATCATATTGATTATGACTTCATTTATTAATAGAAGCTTACTCAGATGGATGCCATTGGCTTACAGATATCGTATGTCTTCATGTTAAAGTTCGTCAACATGAATTTCCTAAAACCCAAATAACATCTATACGGAGAGAACCCATGGGAGTCGAAGCCCAAGGCACAAGTCTTAGTCTATTTAAAGACTCTTTAGCTTCTAATCCTTGGTAGGTCAACATACATCAACAACTCAACTACCAGACTCATACGTTAAATTTTCTAAATCTTCTGTACCTCTGCGTTTATTTTACCGCTCATGATTTCACTTTGTATCGAGTTAACATATGAAAGTATGGACCAAGAGAATTGTCTTCATCTCTATATCTTACCTAAAACGCCTCGTTTGTTTTTCAACGATATCGCAAGACCATCTCTGAACTAAACCCTAGCTAGAAATCTTTTCTATTATTATATCAGTCCAAATAAATGTAAAGGCTAGTGGTGGATGGATGGACATTGGGAATGAATCAGTCGTCCCATATACATTGCACCCACCACTCCAAATTCTCGTTCGACTGTGGCTGTTTGGAAGCTTGTGGTGCATATGTGGGCTAATTGGTTGCTTGAATTCACTCATCTTTGTGCAAAACTACATTCACGTTCCTTTATCCTCTCCTCTTCTCCTCTGATTGCGACTCTCACTGTCCTTTTGCCTCTTGAACGCCAACTATTCAATATTCATATTGCACGGCCGTCAGTCAATATTCATTGAATTATCTACCGGTGCTCGACTCTTACCGATTTCAAAATTGGTAATTTTTTCTAGGAATGGCAATGGGCAGGTTCGAGGCGGGTATCTCAATACCTATATCCGTACGTCCAATTACAGGTTGGGTCCAGGTCGGGTAATTTATCATGAGGCGCGAGTCGGGGCAGGTCGACCCAATAATGGGTATGTAATTTATGCGAAAAACATTAGAAATATTCATTATTTTTATTAAAAGACCAAGAAAGAAACTATTATATGATTAAATGTAGTTAAGTTATTGGAGAAATCGAGGTTTTTACTTATTTATAACTTTATTACAGCTAAAATATGATGTAATAAGAGGAAAATCCTAAGTATTTTGACTAATATTGCATGTAATTTAGGCATGAAAGGGTCAAGAATGGGGCGGGGCGGGACAAGTCGGGTCGA